AGTGCTAATCAAGGTGGCCAATTGCAACATTCACACTTGCCTCAAACAGGCAAGAGTTCTTTCCACAGATATATAAACCTCATTTGCCTATTTTCCAACAGACCTCACAACCTCTGAGGGTGCCTGTCATAGATGTGGTTGAAATGTCAGGAGAGAATGCTTCTGAAATATGGCCATACAGCCTGGAAAACTCACAGCAACCCAGTGATTCCGGCCATGAAAGCCTTCAACAACACATTGTCCAATGTTGTGAGAATAAAGTCCAAACGCTCCCACATTCATGTTACACAGCAAATCATGTCTAAAAGCACTTTACAATTGAGTCTCGATTCACAAGAAAATTCTGCCTGTCTTCACATTTAGTGGTCAACCTCACTAAGGCTTAGATTATCAAGTAGGTTGTGCAGTGATACCTATCATGTTGAAATGCTTGCTGAATGCGAGCTATTTATAGCCATTGTAAATAACGGTCAGTCATTTCAGTGACTCATTTTGGAAAAACAAAATAAAGCATCAGTCTGAGACAGACTCACGTTAGGAACAAACCAATACATGCCTGTATTAACTTCTCCAATTGAGACAGTGTTGAATTTGGAGTTGTTTGAATAAGAAATGACTACTTGGGAGGCCCTACAAGGTTTATGGATCCTCATTTTTTTTTACTACCTGTTTTTACCTGCCTTGATGCAATCTTACATTTCCAAATGTTGTCTCGCTGACTGTAATTTCAGCCAACCAGGAATTACATAACTACTGCAATAAAATCACAATACCATACAGTCAATCATATTTAATGATACGACAATATAATAAATCCAATCCTCGATGTGAGCAATGCTTCCCACACTCGTGTAGACTCTGTGACACCAGGTAAGGAAAGAGATTTGGCTAAGAGACAACATCACAGAACCAATTTGGTTTAAGAGCAGGAATCATTGCCCTCACTATTTCTTCCCTGTCTGGATATACACAAAAGCAGAGAACCACAGAATCTTAGAACTGGAAAGATGATATATGGGATCCGATCAAAGATTACTATGGAAAGAGAAAATACAGCAATAAGCAAAGTGGGGATATCATACAACTGTGCAATTTCTTTGTTTAACTTTATAAATAAACTAGCCGTCCCCTGCCACACGTTGCTGAGGCCTACATGGGGGTTCTGTGTAGGAGGTTTGGCCCTATTCTATCATTGGTGGGGTTCAGAATGCTCTGTGATTGTAGGTGAACTATAAATCCCAGCAACTACAAGTCCCAAATGTCAAGATTCTATTTCCCCCAAACTCCACCAGTGTTCACATTTGGGCATATTGAGTATTCTTGTAGAGTTTGGTCCAGCAATTTTAGCTCCAGCCTTGGATTCGTCAAGCCCTGCACATCGCATGATGTGTTCTGCATATTGATATAAACGGAATATATCCCAATGCGATAAAGCCTTGGAAGTCTTTAGATGGAGCTTAGATGGATAACTTCCAGGAGCGCTATTATATAATCCAGTTCAGTGTGGATTTTATACAGCTGTATGGAAAGGGCCTAAGACTACACTGCCATATAATGCAGTTCAATGTGGATTTTATACAGCTGTGTGGAATGGGTTTAAGTCCATACTGCAATATAATCTAGTTCAAAGTGGATTTTATACAGCTGTGTGGAAGGGGCCTAGATCCACACTATTATATAATCCAGTTCAATGTGGATTTTATACAGCTGTGTGGAAGGGGCCTAGATCCACACTGCCATATAATCCAGTTCAATGTGGATTTTATACAGCTGTGTGGAAGGGGCCTAGATCCACACTGCCATATAATCTAGTTCAATGTGGATTTTATACAGCTGTGTGGAATGGGTTTAAGTCCATACTGCAATATAATCTAGTTCAATGTGGATTTTATACATCTGTGTGGAAGGCGCCTAAGCCACACTGCCATATAATCCAGTTCAAAGTGGATTTTATACAGCTGTGTGGAAGGGGCCTAGATCCACACTATTATATAATCCAGTTCAATGTGGATTTTATACTGCTGTGTGGAAAGGGCCTAAATCCACACTGCCATATAATCTAGTTCAATGTGGATTTTATACAGCTGTGTGGAAGGCGTCTAAGTCCACACTGCCATATAATCCAGTTCAAAGTGGATTTTATACAGCTTTGTGGAAGGGGCCTAAATTTACACTATTATACACTATTACACTACCGCTGTTGAAAAAACCATCACTGGACCCCACTCAATTTGTCAACTTTTGGCCAGTTTCCAATCTCCCCTATTTGGGCAAAGTCCTGGAACGTGTGGTGGCCTCGCAACTCCAGGAGTTCCTGGTAGACACGGACTATCTAGATCCGGCGCAGTCTGGCTTTAGGCCGGGACATGGTACTGAGACAGCCTTGGTTGCCTTAGTGGATGATCTTCGCCGGGAACTGGACAGGGGGAGAGTGTCCCTGTTGGTTCTGCTGGACCTCTCTTTGGCCTTCGATACCGTTGACCACAGTATCCTCCTGGGACGCCTCACAGGAATGGGTCTTGGGGGTACTGTTTTGCAGTGGCTCCGGTCCTTCCTCGAGGTTCGCTCCCAGAAGGTGTCACTAGGGGACTCCTGCTCGACTCCTCAGCCATTGTACTGTGGAGTCCCGCAGGGTTCAGTACTGTCCCCTATGTTGTTTAACATATACATGAAGCCGTTGGGAGAGATCATCCGGAGTTTCGGGGTACGGTGTCATCTGTACGCAGATGATGTCCAACTCTATCACTCCTTTCCACCTGCTACTAAGGAGGCTGTCCAAGTCCTGAACCGGTGCTTGGCCGCTGTAACGGACTGGATGAGGGACAACAGATTGAAACTAAATCCAGACAAGACAGAGGTACTCCTGGTCAGTCGAAAGGCCGAACAGGGCATAGGGTTTAGGGCATAGGGTTTAAAGTACTGCAACGCTCTCTACGTGGGGTTGCCTCTGAAGACTGCCCGGAAGCTGCAGCTAGTCCAACGCTCGGCAGCCAGACTACTAATGGGCGCTGGGTACAGGGAGCACACCACTCCGCTGTTACACTAGCTCCACTGGCTGCCAATTAGCTTCCGAGCACAATTCAAAGTGCTGGTGTTAACCTATAAAGCCCTAAACGACTCCGGCCCTGTTTACCTCTCTGAACGTATTCTCCCCTATGAACCATCAAGATTATTAAGATCGTCTGGAGAGGCCCTGCTCTCGGTCCCACCGGCCTCGCAAGCGCGTCTGGTGGCGATAAGGGACAGGGCCTTCTCGGTGGTGGCCCCTCGACTCTGGAACTCTCTCCCACTGGAGATCAGAACCGCCCTGTCTATCCTGACATTTAGGAAACAGGTGAAGACTTGGTTATGGAGACAGGCATTCGACGAGTGAGCCAACACCCTGAGATATGGATGGAGGATGATGAGCAACGATTTTAGTTTGACGACTGACCATTGCAGTTATTGAATGTAATTGCTGTTTTAATGTTTTACTGTAATATGTATTATGATGTCTTATTGATTGTATGTGATTTTATGGTTGGAAACCGGTCAAGAGAGGTGAGAAGGTCGGTATACAAAACTTTTAAATAAATAAAAAATAAAAATATAATCCAGTTCAATGTAGATTATATACAGCTATGTGGAAGGGGCCTAAATCCACACTGCAATATAATCCAGTTCAATGTGGATTTTATACAGCTGCGTGGAATGGGCTTAAGTCTACACTGCCTATAATCTAGTTCAATGTGGACTCCAGAGGACAGGAGCAGGATTCAAAACGATCTTGACAGATTAGAGAGATGGGCCAAAACTAACAAAATGAAGTTTAACAGTGACAAATGCCATATACTCCACTTTGGCAGGAAAAACGAAATGCAAAGATAGAGAATGGGTGACGCCTGGCTCGAGAGCAGTACGTGTGAAAAGATCTTGGAGTCCTTGTGGACAACAAGTTAAACATGAGCCAACAATGTGATGTGGCGGCAAAAAAAGCCAATGGGATTTTGGCCTGCATCAATAGGAGCATAGTGTCTAGATCTAGGGAAGTCATGCTACCCCTCTATTTTGCTTTGGTTAGACCACACCTGGAATATTGTGTCCAATTCTGGGCACCACAATTCAAGAGAGATATTGACAAGCTGGAATGTGTCCAGAGGAGGGCGACTAAAATGATCAAGGGTCTGGAGAACAAGCCCTATGAGGAGCGGCTTAAAGAGCTGGGCATGTTTAGCCTGGAGAAGAGAAGGCTGAGAGGAGATATGATAGCCATGTATAAATATGTGAGAGGAAGCCACAGGGAGGAGGGAGAAAGCTTGTTTTCTGCTTCCCTGGAGACTAGGACGCAATGGAACAATGGCTTCAAACTACAAGACAGGAGATTCCATCTGAACATGAGGAAGAACTTCCTGACTGTGAGAGCCGTTCAGCAGTGGAACTCTCTGCCCCGGAGTGTGGTGGAGGCTCCTTCTTTGGAAGCTTTTAAACAGAGGCTGGATGGCCATCTGTCAGGGGTGATTTGAATGCATGATTCCTGCTTCTTGGCAGAAGGGGGTTGGACTGGATGGCCCACCAGGTCTCTTCCAACTCTAGGATTCTGGATTCTATCTGAACATGAGGAAGAACTTCCTGACAGTGAGAGCCGTTCAGCAGTGGAACTCTCTGCTCCGGAGTGTGTTGGAGGCTCCTTCTTTGGAAGCTTTTAGAGGCTGGATGGCCATCTGTCAGGGGTGATTTGAATGCAATATTCCTGCTTCTTGGCAGGGTTGGACTGGATGGCCCATGAGGTCTCTTCCAACTCTTTGATTCTATGATTCTATGATATACAGCTGTGTGGAAGGCGCCTAAGTCCACACTGCAATATAATCCTGTTCAATGTGCATTTTATTCAGTTGTGTGGAAAGGGCCTCAGTGTCTTTCTATGGGAAGGCCTCCCTCCAGAGCTAGAGTAGCTGTCGCCATGGCAACTGGGCAGTTCGAGGTGGGCGGGGCGGCAGCCTCTTCCCGCTCTGGGCGCCATTTCTACCCGTTCTCGCGAG